TGGGGGACGCGGCGGCGAGGACACGGGGGCTAGAGCCAGCAGCACTCTGCAGTCACTCGACGTGGTCATGTAAGGGGACGTGAGGACCCTGCCCTGCTCTCTGGCCGGGACAGGGCCTTCGCTGAGGGAGGGGTGGGAGCGGGAGCGTCGGGCGGTGTGGGCCGCATCCGGGTCAGTCTGGAAGCCCGTTATTGGCACCTCGCGGGAGCTGGGAGCCCTCAGAGACCGACGGGGACATTCCGTGCCGTAGCGCAGGCCTGGGCCTCCCAGAGCGGCCCCTGGGGTGGAGGGGTGAGAACCTCATAGACAGACTCACCGTCCTGCACGGGGACCGTCCAGCCCAGGCAGAGCCCTGCAGGAGAGAGCCCGGTGAGGACGCGCCCCGCCTGGGCTCCGTGCCCGGGGTCAAGGTCAGTGTGACGCGGGAGGAGTCAGCTGCAGGGACCCCGAGCTCCCTGATCACGTTAGCGCTCACGTCCTTCCCCGGAGCAGGGCCCAGACGGGCCAGTGACCCCCAACCGCAGCCCGCCAACCTTCTGGACCCATCCACACCCCGTTTCTCCCTCCCTCCCTCCCTTCTGTTATTGCCCGAGGGCACGTGCACTTGCCAGAAGAGCAAAGGGGGAGAAAGCACCCCGAGTGGAGCGTGGTCACACTGCGACCTCACCCTCACCTCCGGCGTTGGGATTCGGGCGTGCATACACGCTGGGCGTGGGTTTTCAAGTGCTGGGACTGGGATTTGAACCACAGTCAGACACGAGGGATCCAGCTACCTGAACCACCAGGCCATGGGGCAGGCCCTCACCCCGAATTTCTATGGCACTCTGGAGACGGGGTCTCTCTGTGGCCAGCTCTGGCCCGGAGTTCCAGGGGAGGTGCCTGCAGGGGTGACTGTCCTTCCCCAGGACTGCACCTCGACGTGCCCACCCGCCTCCTCTGTCCCCACACTCACCAAGGCCCAGGAGGGCGGCAGGGTGAGGGGGCATGGCCACCCTTGCCGCTGCTCTGTCTTGTCCAGGCGTGAGGACAGCCCTGCGCTGAGGGAGGGTGCGGTATCGCACACGGGTGCCTCACACGGTGGCGCCCACGGTCTCACAGGAAGGAGGATGGGTCGGCCACGGTCTGGACTCGAGCTTCCGCTCAGTGAGCCGCAGAGAGGCCCCGGGTTCCCGCAGGCGTTTCCAGTGTGTATTTCACAACTGGCCTGAGCCGCGTCCGGGGAACTGTGTCGCTGACGTGTGGGCCGGGGATTGACAGGCGGTGATGGATGGGTGGTCGCTGCCGGGTAGATGTTGACACAGTACACGGCAGAGCGTAGGCAGGTGAGTGGGCACGGCGGTAGGCAGAGGGCAGAGGGCCGGCAGGACCCCACAGGGCTGAGAGCGGT